CTGTGTTAATTGGTTTCCCTTTTCTTTGTTGAAGAGGGTCTGTGCAGTCTTTCTGCCTAGTCCGCCATCTTGCTGCTCCCCCCTTCCATCTTCTTTTGATGCTTCCTGCATCATTTAATATTTTGCCCATAGAATCTTTCAATATTGCAACTTGAGGCTTAAATTTTTTCCTCAGTTCTTTCATCTTGAAAAATGCTGAGGGTGTTCTTCCCTTCTGGTTTTCTAACTCCAGCTCTTTGCACATTTCATTACTGTAATTGCCTTTGTCTTCTCAAGCTGCTCTTTTTAAGTCTTCTGTTCAGCTCTTTTATCTTATCATTTCTTCTATTTGCTTTAGCTACTCTCTGCTCAAGGGCAAGTTTCAGAGTCTCTTCTGACATCGATTTTGGTATTTCCTTCCTCTCTTTTTAATGACCTCTGGCTTTCTTTGTGGATAATTTTCTTGATGTCATCTCACAATTCCTCTGGTTTTCAGTCATTGGTGCTCAGTGTATCAAATCTATTCTTTAGATGGTCTCTAAATTCATGAGTGATATAGGGAGCTCTGGTAGCATAGTGCCTAAGGCACTTGACTGCTAACCAGAAGGCTGACGGTTCAAACCCACCAGCCAATCCTTGGAAGGAAGGTTTGGCAATCTACTTCTGTAGTGATACTGCCTTGGAAACCCAAGAAGGGCTCACTGAGTTGTGTCCCAACTCGGCAGTACATTACAACAAATAGCCCAAGTCATTATTTTGGCTCTTGTGGACTTGTTTTAATTGTCTTCAACTTCAAGCTGAACTTGTATAGGAGCAGTTGATGGTCTGTTCCACAATCAGCTCCTGGCCTTGTGTTGGCCAAAGATACTGAACCTCTCCATCGCCTCTTGTGACAGATGTAGTCAGTAAGATTCCTGTGTATTTCATCTGGTGATGGGCACGTGTATAACTGTTGCTTATGTCGTTGAAAAAGGTATTTGCAATGAATAAGTCGTTGGTCTTGCAAAATTCCATCATGCAATCTGCAGTATTATTTCTATCACCAAGGCCATTATTTTCCAACTACTGGTAACTCTTTGTTTCCAACTTTTGCATTCCAGTCACCAGTGATAATCAACACATCTCGATTGCATGTTTGTTCAATTCCAGACAGTACAAATCTTCAATATCATCATCTTTGGTTCTGGTGGTTGGTGTGTAGATTTGAATAGTAGTAGTATTAACTGGTCTTCCTTGCAGGCGTATGAGTATTATCCTATCACTGACAGCATTGTACTTCAGGACAGATCTTGAAACACTCTTTGTGATGAATGCCACACCATTCCTCTTCAATTTGTCATTCT